TCTTAAACAAAGTTTAACAAAACATTTGGAGCTACTATTGAGAAAATTATGAAAATGTTGAGGCTTCAAGTAGCCCCAAAAATAAAAATATTTAGGGTCTTGAGTTCTTTTACTTTCATCAATTGAGGAATGTCAATTTTGGAGAAAATTGGCTGAACGTGTAGGCCAGTATTGACCACAGCCGGACGGACAGCCAGATGTTTTGCAGTCAATCGATATTTCAGTATCAAGGACAATCAAAATATGGATTCTGACAATACATGTTAGAAGTAATCTACTTTATTGATACCAGGGCCCGGCAATAAGGGTTTCTCTGTTTTCCTGCACACGTTTAATTTTACAAAGTAAGGGCACAAAGGCAAAAAATATTCTGTTTTTTAATATTACTTTTAACAAATAAAATAATTTCCCTTTTTACATCCCAGATAGGGGAAAAAGAAAAACTTAAAAATCAAAAATGACTTCATTTCAACAAAAATAAAAATATCATGAACAATAGCTGCAATGGCATGAAGGTAGCGTTGGACGGTAGAGTAATTCTAAAATACAATTAAAAAATAAAACTTCTATAATGCAACACTGATCAAAGTAATATTTATTTTGAGAGAAATATACTTTCCAAACCTGTTTGCTCAATACTTACAGAACCTTAAGAATCAAAAATATCAAAAAATATATAGTTTATATACAAGATACATATCTTTGAAGTTTAAATTCATATTTCATAATTGCCAATTGCTTTTATTTACATTACTTCAAACAAATGTTGGGTTTGAGAGTACATTTCAAAATAATCAAAATCCTTACAATCTGTTTTGTGAACTGTATAAAGAAAAACTGACAATTTCAAAAGCAATGTAAAATTTCAGTTAGTTTTCCTTCGTTTTCTGTTAAATTCCTGCTGATTATACTTTCCTTCAAGATAAGAACTTCTTTTCTTTTTCCTCTTCTTATTAAGAATGTTAAAAGCTGAAAATATATCTATAGAAGGGGGCTTGGGTGAAAATGTTTGCTTGCGTCCCCTGGGACACGCAGTTGCTAAATGGCCTTTTCCAGCACACAAACAACAATTCATTTCCATTGCGGATTTGTACACAGTTTCTTCCAAAACACCTGCTTCCAAATCCTCTGTAGTAGTCTGTAACATAAGTAAAGGTTTTTTCTAACCAACAACACAAAGTTTAAAGAACAAATTAATAAAATATTGTTGAAATCATTCCATTACAATACAAGAATAGAATTGGAAAAGTATACAAAGTTTGCTTATTTATATTTTTCTTTATTAAAATAGTTATGTTTCCAAAAACAGCATTTATTTTTAAATGAACGGCTTTGTGAATGAAGTCTATTGTTAATAACACCTGGCCACCATAGAACAAGCGCAAGTTATTGTTAAAAGGGGCCCCATCGGTAACATCCGACAAGAACAATGGAAATCCCAAAAACCCCAAAACAAAAAAAGGGGAACATGTAAATATTAATAATCTTTTTTAAAATGACTTATGTCAACAACTTGATTTTGGTTATGAACTAATATTGTTTTTGTAGATAAAAATAGAACTCTTTCAATGGTTTAAAGCTTTGAGGGATGGCACATGAATTTTAGAAATTGCAAACCATTCGAAAAAATTCTCCCAACGTATTTATTTTTTAATGCCATCTTATTCAATTGATTCAGTCAGGTGCTGCAGATCCATAAGCATTCCACAATATCTTGTGCTCACTCTACTGTGGGCATGGAATACTATCTAGACTTCGATCATGATGTCATTCATTAAAATATATATAACCACTGTAAAATTCAAGAGCATTCATGAAATAAGGTATGTAGTTGGACGGGATTGGACAATTATGAAC